TCAAACCCCAAACGCAACATCTGATTAAAGTAGGGCCCCTTTGAGGGCCACGAACACATGCAACAGCCTGTACCTCTGAGAGAATCTGAATCTGAGCCTAAACCCTAAGTCCTACATCCCTGCAACCCCCCGGAGTCGCCCCACAGCACATAAGACTCCTCGTGGACCAAAGCCGGCAGGCACCTCAACGCACAGCGGGCGAAGGCTTCGAAACCAGCGGACTGCTGTTGTTGTTGTTGCTGTTCTTCTTCCAGGACCCTCCAAGTACCCTCAAATAGGGGCACATGGTCCCAAATTAAGGGTATTCAGGGCCGAATCAAGGGTAGATGGAGGGTCTAGGTTACTATGATCAGTAGTACAGTATAGTTGCTATCTTCATGCGGTCCGGATGCCATGACCCTTCTGACATGTAAGCTCCTATTCTGTGGAGTAATCCTCTACAGGATCAGGGAAGCAATCAGTATTTTTCACTATTTGACATTCCCCCTGCTGCCGGGCTTACGAAGGGATCTTGGACCCCTAAACTGGCCCTAAACCCTAAACATTAAGTGCAGTGTGGATCCCTGAGGCTTCATAGCGGTTTCGGACGACTTAAGGCGCCGGGTTTAAGTCGTGGCTCGGAAGACCTGGGATTGAGCCAGATGATCCCATCTAGCCGAAAGCTAATTGACCTACCCTGCAGCTACACACATGGCCGACGTAATCCTAAACCCCTCCATTTCTCCACGGCTGCCAGGACAGCCCTTCAAGAATCTCCGGAATTTCGGTTCTTCTGACGGTCAGCTCCGCGAGACAACACGACCAGCGTAGATCCCACAAAAAAGGGCCCTTGGTTCTACTGAGCTGAGAGGCTGCGTCGCTGGAGGCATCTCCGTCGAGCTGGTAGAACTTCCCGGTGCCTTCCTGACCTTCTGGCAGGGGATCTACACCCTAAGCCCCAATTCGAGCTAATTTGGGCCAAGGCCTTCCGGGTTTAAGAGTTCCAGGGCGTTTTGATGCAACGTTGAGGTCGTTGGGCCAAGTTCCGGCTGCTGTCTTTAGGATGTTCAGGGTCTTTGCACATCCCCAGGATGCGCATCTAGGCACTTATCACGAATTGCGACCTACTCAGGTACTTGCCCGAAGTGCTCTTTTCCATCATCTCCTTGTGAACACCTCCAGGTTCCAAGGTTGTCTGTCATCCGGTCTGTGACGGTCTGTGAATCCGTCCGTCTCCCTGTGTCCACTTCCGGCTGCCTTTCTAGTTGGAAGTCATGACGAGAATGAGGACTGCGACGACGTCGAGGACCATCGCGACCCTGGTGGCTGTGATGATGATGATGATGACCTGGTGACGGTGCTACTATCACTTTGATGACGGCGACGACGACCGTGATGAAGACCCCGATCAGCATCTCCAAAACCGGGACATCCCTTGGGCCAAAGAGTTCGGGTTCAGTCCGTAGCGATCGAATATGAAGATGAGAGGTGTCAACAGAGAAGCGGGGCAAATTGCAGCCCACCATGGTAAGATGGATCAATGCAGATGCTATGCAGCTGGCTTACGATCCACGGCACTCGCCTTGAAGCGCGGCAGATTTCCTAATGCATCGAACCACCCCTAGGTTTTCACTCGCTCATACAACAGGTGCCCGCAAAACGTATCGAATCGAGCGTATGCTTTGGCATGGTTCGGGGACGGCCTCGACATGCGTCGGGCCCCAAGCAGAACGGCCCCAAGTCCGATGAAGAGTCACAAACCCAGGGCTCTAGGACCCACATTGCATTTCGAAGGCACCGAAACCGAAGCAGAAAACTCTCACCAGCCAAACATCTCAACTCGTGCAGTGTCCCAGCCTGACTCCTCGCCTCGACGTGGACTCCTGCAGCAGCTTTCGAGTGCTGCGGATGGCGAGAGGAACGCTAGCTGAAGTGAGCCTTGCAATAAGATCTGAAGTGAAACAACCTTCGCACTACATCCCCGTCCCAAGACCTTGAGCTCTGATCTCCACAACCAGCCCGGCCTTCTTGTCGCGTCCCGGCGATAGAAGCTCCCCGTCAGCGCGACCGCGAAAGCCTTGCAGCAGACACGGCAGTTGACGATGTCTGGTGAAGGAATATATAGTCTCATGGCAGTCGGAACAGCAGCAGCAGTCGTTGTCTTAATCGAAGTCGTAGTCGTCGAAGAAGTAGTAGAAGTTGAAGTCGTCGCAGAAGTAGTCGTAGAAGTAGAAGTAGTAGTCGTCGTCATCGTCGTCGTCGTAGTAGTAGTCGTGGTAGTGGTAGTAGTAGTGGTAGTGGTAGTAGTCGTGGTAGTAGCAGTAGTAGTAATAGCAGCAGGAGCAGCGGCTGCATCAGTAATTTCTAGTAGAAGTTGCACCAGTAGGCAGTAGGCAGTAGTAGTGGCAGGCGGCAGTGGCAGGTGCCATTGAATCATTGGCACTGCTAGTAGTAGTGGCAGTGGCGATGGTACTGTAGTATGTGGTGGTAGTTGTAGTGGTCGTGGTAGTGGTAGGCGGAGGAGTCGTGCTGCTGCGTGGTAGTAGAAGTAGCGGTTGTAGAAGCAGCAGATGCAGCAGTGGTAATTTCAGTAGTGTAGTTGGAGTCGTCGAGAATGTCGTGTCGCAGTACAAGTAAACACCGAGTACAACTACACATAGATGAAGTAGAAGCAGTACGCCCATCACATTAGTAATCTAATTACTATCATCATTAGTAGTAGCAGCAGTAGAAGGCGGGGGGGAAGAGGAGGAAGTGGAGGAGCAAGCAAAGGAAGAAGTAGGCGCAGCAGTTACCCTCGCTTCTTGGCAGTTGTAGCTGGTAGCGGTCGCGGTGCCTAAGCCCCTTTCAGGTCTTTAGCTGAATTCGCCTGCTTCACAGCCTCACCATTCTCGCTCGTTATATGCTCCGTCTCCGTTTATATACTTTGTCAATTAGATATATCTGCAGGTTTCGATTTTGAACTCTCCGGGATTACAGACTGCAGAGGATGACGGTGAAAAGATGCAGGTCAGGGTCTTAGGCTATCCCGGAAGACAGCTAGAGTCAGTCGAAACAGCGCGGCACTTGGGCACTTGGGCGTGTCGCAAACCTGATGTCACCAACCCCGTGCTGCGAGCAGAGATCCGAAGCTGGAGTTCGCATGCCGAGCTCCCAGCACAGCGCGCAGCAGTGCCCTTCGGCTGATAGCCTGCTGCGGGTCTTCTCGCGCGAGCCCAGCTCGGTATCAACATCAACCGGCGCCAGAAGTTGAAATAGCTATATTATGTAGTTGTATACTGTCCTTGTACCAGATGTTGTTGGTTTCCACATGCCAAGTATTGGGTACAGAGTTAAGATTTGTCTATTGCGTAGGCTTTCTGCCACGATTGCCACTTAGGTCCAAACCCGAAGCCCAAAAAGTGCATAGCTCGCCTGCGTAACAAACGGGTGTGCGCCGAGGCTACGACTACTACCGCAGGCCTTATTATAGGTCCTACTGTCACGACAACTCCTCCACTTGCTGGTATTGTTATCAACGCTTTCATTCGTGTCAGTAACCCATGTCGTCTTGACATGAGCTGAGGTTTTGATTGCCAGTATCCCAACCCCGTCCTATACACTCACCTCAATCCCTGCTGTCAACCCGACCTCATACGAGTCTCAGGGTCTATGTCATGGCCCGGCCTGAGCGCCACCAGAGTGGTCTGGGATGCTTGGCAGCATCCTCTGGGCTTGCTGATTGTAGAGTCTAGAGGTGGACAGCTAGCCGGACCGGGGTGTTAGATCTAGGAATCTAGTGGTAGGGTCTACGGACAAGCTTTGATGTAGAATGTTGCGGGTTCAAGAATTTGGGATGAGGTTCGTCAGGGTTTCTTATATGACACGGGCATTCAGTTGCCATATAACAGACTGACGAAACTGCGAAGGATATTTTGTGTGGGGCAAGAGCCCAAAGACCTTTCTACTGCATGCCTCCCAGCCCGATGTCGAGACATTGCCATGCGAGAATACAACCTGCCAAAAACACCCGATGCTAGGCCCTAATTAGACATCAAACTGAACACCCTAACCCCTGCAAAATTTTCAGAACTTGTCTGCTTGCTCGCCAGAGCTCTTGAACGGTCGCAGCTGGCGCAATTCTCTGCACCGGGACCGCGACATGCATGGTGCGCAACGGAAGGCTTGGGGTTTGTTTTTGGGATCGGGCCATCAATCCCTTTAAGTGAGGTGAGTCTTTGATTTGAGAAGTCGGTGCTGGATCTTGAGCACGGTGAATTTGGCTGGTAGAGGGACTTAGGTTGTGCAGTAGGTGCATATGTTCCGCAGAGGAGGGCATCTGTTGCGGGCAAGTGCTTGTCGGTTATGGGTTTCCGCCGATGATTGAGGGTGTCAGGTGCAACCTGACTCAGGTTTGACGGAGGCACAAGCAGGGACGCAATGTAAAGGACACTCAAGGCCTATATAACATCAGAGTACGGCATCGCTCAGTGCTGCAACATGTCGTCTCCGGTGAGCAGGACAGTTATGCCAGTTTCTCACCCAATTACAAGAATGCCAGTGCACGACTTCTTGATTTTTAGGCGACTCCGCCACAAACTTCGCAATGCAAATCTGCATGCGGTATGCAACCAATCACTCGGTGAGTGGCTCTGAAGCGGGCGCAGCTGCAGTTCCTCCTCTTGCGACGAGGGACTGGCAAACAAAGAGGCATCCAGACCTTCCCCAATCCCTTAATTAAGGAATACTAAGGAATTCACCTTAGATTATAGTAGGATCGCGAATATGAAGCAAGGTATATTCCTTAATTAAAGGATTCTGGAAGGTCTGGGCAACTTTCCTGCAGCTGGCATCTGCCTGCTTTCGCTTTCGACTACAGGACAGATCCTGCTGGACCACGCTCTTCATGGTCGTGAGGTGTTTTGCTCCCGCCAGCCAGATTTATGTATCAGGCAGATATGATGTACTGTATGTTATCTATCATGCATTATGCGCTCTCTAACAGTTGTATACCCGCGATTTATACATTCCCCTCGTCCAGGTTAGATCGCCGGCTTGTATTCCCTCTCGAACGGCACGGTGCAGATCTGGATGGCACGGTAGTGGTGCCAGAAGTCTTTCCTTGGATATGCTTCAGGGGGCTCTTCACTGTCCTTGCTACCGCAATGAACATGCCGGAGCATCAGAACGACGCTAGGGCTGGTTTGGTCAAAGAGTCAGCGACATGTAGAAGGAGCCGTCCCCCAAGGGATCAACGCCAGTTCGCTTGACCTGTACCAGTCCGCAAGTGCATCAGCAAAATTCCCGACGTGACTTGCATCAAGCTGAAGATCTCACGCCATGTCCGAGAACCTCGTCGGGGTTGGGGCTGGAGTACAATGATCCGGGACGGGCATGCTCAAGCCTGTGAAATGTGCAGGCATGATTCCTTCAACGTCTGACTACATTCCCTGTGGAAGGACCGGCTCAATCCGCCTTGACATGAAGACTTCGGCAAAGAGATCTTGTTAGTTGCAGTCTCCACTTCTTCTATTCGACACATCATGCATGCTACAGGTATGGAGGATGCTGAAAGGCTTTAACGCTTGGCTTATGCTGAGTGCCGGCAAGAAGCCGACTGTTCTTAATGAGAAACTCATCACTTCGTCTTTCACAAAACCCGCCCGAAAGACAAGGCCGTGATTCTTCTGTTCGTAGTACCATAAATTGGACCATATTTTGGTACTATCCGTGCTGCTAGTATATAACTTTTGTGTTCGTGTGGCTACATATGATTATAATGATGAGAACTATGGCTGTTATTCTTATTGTTTTGAATAGCACTATTAGTATTGTCGTTGCCCTTGTTACTCTTGTTGGAAATATCGTCATATGGCATATTTTACCAGCATACTCTAACAACATCGACATGCCAGGACAGTCTTCGCCGCCGCCTCGTCCCAGTCTACATCTGCAAGCGCAGCCGTGCTCTTGTAGCGTTTGTTCAGCGTCCAAGACCTCAGCTGGCGCACAAGATCTCGAGGTCCTGTTATTTTGCAGCTCGTGTCCGTTGTAGGCGAGCTGCTTGCTGGTTGAGCCCTGAAGCGTGCAGCGATAAAAAGCCAAGGACCGAAAACAAGACGTTCCCAGAGGAATCTGAAGAGTCCGCCACTCTTCGGAAGACGAGGCAGAGGCCTACAACGAGGATGAATATGACCATGAGGATGCTTTGCCGGAGGGTTATTGCAATCATGGTGCTCGCACGGCGGGTGAACTATCGCCAATCATACCTGTCTGCTTCTGTGCCTGCTTCTGATGATGATGATGATGATATGATGATATGATGATGATGACGATAAAGGAGCTGATGAACATGAGCTTCCAATTTTCCCTGCTGTTGATGGTTGGTGTTAAGTTGACGAATCACAGTATCTTGGCTGCTATTGCTGCTGCGCCGTTTCTACGCAATAGAAACTAAAAGTTTGAGTCGTCACCGCGGGAGCTAAAAGCGCAATCATCATGCACGAACCAGCAACGAGCTTTACCACAATGGTTGCCACTTGCGCCTCATTATCCTGCTGAGTTTGGTAGTGGCATCATGCATATTTCCCGTATCTCAGTATGTCAGAGGTTTCCTGTTGTGTTGCGGTCGTTGGGTTTTCAAACAGGATCATGACCAGTGTTGTTGCTGCGAACATTGTGGGTGTTGGTTAGTTCATGGCACACAGATGAGGGCTTATAAGGTTGTCCTCACTACTAGTATGCCGTTAGTGTTACCCTCACGGACTCCGACATGCGGAATGCAGGCGCTGATCGAATCGAAGCAGATGAGGATAATGATGTCAATGCTGTTGGTGGTCATGTGATGTTGCCCGGCGTCGACGATGTTGATGGTGATGGTGATGGTGATGATGTTGCGTGTGGTAATGGTGGTGCTGATATTGACGACCGTTCTGCTGATGCGCTGTTGCCATGCAGGCACCACGAAACCCGATGCTCCATATCCAGTGCCAGAGCCTGAATCTCCAGGCTGAGGTCTGCAACCCATGAAAATCCAAGCCAGCTCCTACAACCCTGACCACTTCGCCTGGCTAAGCCCAAGATATCCTAATGCCCACATGATGTAGGGCAATGTAGGGTTTCAATGACTTGTGACTCAGTCATAAACCCTTACCCCGGTCATCAGACAAAAGCGAAGACAACGACTCTGGCTTCAGATGGAGCGCTCCCAATCCTCGGATGTATTGCGGGCGTCTGAAGGCACATCTTTCTGTCATCTATGAAAATAACCGCATTATACCATTACATTCTAAATTATAGTGTACCATGCTTTGTTTTGGTATATTATGGCGGTTTAAATATACTGTATCACATTTTCAAGGCTCCCCGGTAACCCCTGAATCCGGGTACAGCTTCTCAATAGTCAATCTTGATAGCCAGACATCAAACTTACACTGGAGGACCTCGTTAATATATACATATATACACGCACAACAATGTACTGGGGACTGCCAAGCTCTTGTGTCAGGACCCACACATACAGGTGTATGGGTGGGCAAGTTTGATGCCATGACTTCCTGTCTGCTACGCCCAGCTCCAATGGGACCTTATGCCTACTGGGAGACAGTGCTTCTCATCTAAGTCCCAACTTCTGCTGGTGAGATCGCTGAGCCAGCAAAGACAACTTTCGACATTTCCCGGAAGTATAGTCTGCAGTGTGGCTCGAAATTGTCATGTTTGGATGTTGAGGGCTCGTGTGGCTGCGTGAGGCTCAAGCTTTCAGGGCTCAGGCAAGGCCGAAACATGCAGACGGAAAGGTTTCGGCAGGAGGGACTTTTCGATTTACAGGAAAACTACTTTCTGTCGTAGGTAAAGCACATGGTAGCACTTGTGTGGACCAATCCAAGGGCGATTTGGGCCGTAGCAGGACTTGATCGTGTGCGATCTTGGTCGCCAGGAAGATGCAGAAATCAGCAATCGTTGGTGGGTAATGTTCATCAACCTGCTTCAAAGCACCAGAACAGTCTCCTCGTCCTGCAAAGAGAACACGAGACTTCAAGCTCCTGTTGACTGGGGGCAGAAGCTCAGCAGGTTATCATCTAAACCTGCTCAGGGCATGCCAAGCATCCACATTGGACCACTTGCCCCTCCACACTTGCCAGCCCCAGGGATTCCGTAGATGTACAAGGACCTCCGTGGCCGGAAGGTTTGGGCATTGGGCTGCCAATCCCCTGACTAAACCGGAAGGGTGGAGAGGGCTCGAAGGTCCTCCACCAAAAGACAGGCACATAACTCCCAAGCTCAGCGCCGCACCTGCCGGAACTTCTTGTCCTCTTCCGTTCGATCTTCCTCCTAAGAGAGATGCAAAAGAGTCGGCACTGTCAGGACATGGCAGGAAAACGAAGATGGTGAGGGGTGGTAGCTGATATTACCTAGTACTTCGGAGACTTGTTCTCGATCTGTGGTGTACTCGTATATTTGGAGCTCGCAAACGATCATGCACAGTCTTGTGGGGTCGGGATATGTCTCCAACACCACCAGGGATCAACGAAGCGTCTTTCGGGTTTTCAGGGTTCTGCGGGACATGCAGCACAGAGTCTGCATGAAGCGGATCAGGGCCAAGACTGTTGATTGCCGGGGACAGGACTAGGGATATCTACGCAACATCTGAGTTTGACTCGTGGCCCCCAAGCTCCAGGCATTTTCGAAGTAGTTGTGAACGTGGCAAACACCTGCCGTCCGTGTGACGAGAATCTCTGTCGTTAGACAGAAATGGCTTTAGGCATACTGAGAATGGAACGAGGTGTCCCAAGTAGGGAGGAAATTACACTGCATAGTGTTGATCTTCACAATTGAAGCCACTTCCCCAAAAGACTTCAATCTTCGAAGAGGCACGAACAAACTTCGTGGCGGAGGCACTCCAAACAATCATACAGGTCATGGATCGCAATACAACCTCAATACACGGAAGCACAGTAATCGAACCGCACAAGCAGTCGACAATCATCACGGGTCTGGCCTTGCAATCAAGGCAGTCATGCCAATACAAACGGTCGGAATGATGATCATTTGTTCCCAGCTGAAATCTCAAGTTCAAACTATAGTTCAAATCAAAATTGATGCATACTGATGTCGTCGGGTTACTTCGTCCATCGTACCCATACAGCAGTACGTGGTGTGCTACAAACACACTTCCCTTTCCGCTCTACCGGCATGAGGAGACCCCGAATCTAAAACAAGCGCCCACCAGCCAAGCTCCACAGAGAGAGAATGAACACACATGTATCCCTCCCTATCCCACCCTAAACCCTAATCCTCCGCATCCCAGCCTAGCACTGAGTAGGCGTGGTTGGAGACGAGTCCCTGGTCGGTGCCATCCTTCTCGCAGTGGCAGGATGCACAGATGATCCTGGCACATTGGAACCCCAAGGCTCTAGGGCCAAAAGCCGGGCATTTTACCCTTCGGCTTCGGTCGGGACACGGGGGTCATAGGAAAAAAATATGTATATATATATATATATCTTCCTCTGCTTACACGGCCGTCGGGAACGAATTGTGTGGAGGTTCAACAACGGTAAACTGCAGCGAGCACGTGACATTCCGCTGTCGGTAATAGTATGGGGTTCTGCATTCTTCCAGAACCAGAGTGGAAACAAATTTGTTTGACACTTGCGGCTCCTACAGAAACCGCGTGTGCTCTTGCAGAGATGGGTAATAATGACTGTGTTACGGGAAGCCTACCGAAAGTATGCAGTTTGGGAGGCAAAGCACAGTTTGCTATGGTTCCGGAACTGACCATGTGCTCTTCTCTTGTCAGTGTTGCATGGGCTTTCAGGAAAAGCCTGGGCACGAGCTGTGTCTTTTCATGTGCTGTCTCGCGCATCTGCGTCCTGTTTTGCCTAGAGAGCGCACTCCCTGACATCTACCACAGAATCTAGATTCTAGGTCATGTCATGTGCATTTAGGTGTTTCCTCAAGCGCCCAAGGCCAGCGGCTGTAATCCAGCTTCCGAAAGGCCCTTGTTGTCCCATCGTAGAACATGTCCCCCAAGTCGTCCTCATATCCGCTCATACCGTCACACACTACAAGAGCGAGCCGGCCCGGAAAGTGATCGCAAAGCATCTTGCATACTTTGCCCACCGTGCTCCAATCACTGCGGCGTCGCCCGCCAAGCTCGGATTGGATCGCCTCCGGCCCCCACTGCCATGCCAAGCGGAAGGTCTTGGGCGTCGGTGGATCCCCTCCCCACTTTGCAGCCGGGTCCTCAAACTCGAAGGCATATTCTGGCCCGTCAAAACGGTGATCTGTATCGGCAGTGCCTCCTAAGGTGTCCACCACACGCCGCAGAGCCTCTTCCCAAGTCTTCTGCTCGATCTTGTGATCTTTGCGGAGTCGAAGGAAGAACTCGCCACCCATGCTTCGCAAGCGTCCACAAGGCTGCACGCACCCGAAAAGGCTATCGCTACTGACTTGCTCCACCTCGTGAGCCGTGGTGCATCCGATGTCACTGCCTTCATATCGAAACTGTGAGATCAGTTTCGGTTGCAGACGCAACTTGTGCCCACTGGAGGAGACACAATGCAAAGCAGCACCAGCACCAAGCACAAAACAGCAAAACAAGGAGAATCGCGTTCACAGACAACCGTACACCTACGCAAAACAAACCAACAATCAAATGATGAAACAGTAACACGCAACCAAACGAACAATAAGCAACCGAACGACACAAGTACATAAGCGTAGCCCCAACGCCACGCATCTGCTTGGGCAATGCAAGCCCGAGGCCCAGTCTCCATCCGGATACATAAAACTGAACCCTAAGGAGCAATAATATAGGCAGCTATTGAGGCTCTATACTATAGAGTTACGAGCACAAGACGTTCTGCACCGTGCCAAACGTGCCATGAAGTTCTATCGTTTGCTTCGTTCGCAGACGTGCCGGGAGTGGAGCAAGTCCACAAGAAGGAGAACAGGAACAATTGCGACACTTGTGATAGATGTGGCGATGCCTACTGGGAGAAACCGCCATCCCCCGTGCCGAAACGGCTCGCTCTCTCATCGCTGACGACCTAGCCCTAAGGCACCGAAGGAAGCCGCACTGTCTGCAAAAAGGCTCTTCATCCCTCGCTATGAGGTGTGCTGTGCCTCTGTCCCTTCCACTGATGGTAGATCAGGTAGTTCTCCACCTCTTTGCTCCTGGACCGTTGCTGTATCGGTGACAGATGTTCTCAAGTCAACAGATGATCTCTAAAGCCCTAAACCCCAAACCCTACACCCAAGCTGGCCGAGGCACTTCTTGAAGAACGAGCCTCGGCTTGAGAGCTTGAGCTTCTCTCCCACCGCAATCATTTGGGGTAGTTCTCCAAATTAGGGTCCCTTTTTTGGAACCTGACATACAGCGGTATCCTTATAAGAAGTACCCTATAAAAGGGGCCCTAATTTAGAACACCACCCACTTGTCAACCAAACCCAGCCAAGACATAGCCAGATGCATGCTTCTGCCTGAACCTGAAGTCTCCTGTCGTACTGCTGCACGTGTCGTTGGGACCCCGGCTATTGCGCCGAGGGCCTAAGAATGCTCCGGTTCGTTTTCGAATTTCTCTTGGACTTGCGTTGCTTCTTGTTCGGGTCTGACCCATGTCTTTTGTCTGGCAGCTTGCCGGGCTGTTTCGGTCATGAGGCATTCAACTAAGTGGATATGGCGTTGAGGGCGTTATTCAATTTGAATGAGGGGCACTCAACACCCCCATGCACAACACGAGTACACACAAAACAAGGTCATCTCCAATAGGTCTGCCCGTTGAAGTTCGCATGCCGTATCGACGCCTCATGCCAGCTTAACCACAGTAGGTGTGTCTAGGCTACTGCACACTGAAACAGCTCCGGTCTTGTCTGTGATATCCGACCATCCAGATTTTAGATTAGCTAACCAGAAAGCCTGAACAATTACTTTCTCAGGAGTGGTGAACTACAAGGTTGAATCTCGGTTTGAGGTTAAACCCTTAAGAATTATTCACCCGACTTCAATGTTCATCAGAATTCGAAGCCACCCTGCACACTCCCGAAATCCTAAACTCGACAGCCAGGAGCCAAATCTGCAGTAGCCAGCACTGCCAGAGGTGATGAGCCTGAAAAGGTTTGGTGGAGAGTTTGCGTTTTAGAACTTTTGAGGCTGCGGGAAGTACGAGGTTTCAGGGCAGTCTCAGGGCTTCAGCCTGAGGGTGTGTGGCATCTTCGGGTGTGGCATTGCAAAGGTAGCTTCCAGCATATGGGCCCAGTCCTTCGAAACCGGTAACGATGTCAGTAAGAGCCGTCCTCATCATAACAGTCGCAATCATCATTATAATTGTGGTAACGGCAATGAACAGACGGTTGAACTCGCGCTAACGAAGCAAGAACACAAGGAGCAACCACTGCTGGAGTCATCGTCAAAGGGCGACGGTAATGCCGGACAACGGCGAGCGCCACCGCGACCAAAACTTTGACAGCGGCCTCCTTCGTAACCTAATCATGTTCTCCAAGAGCATAGTCTTCGTCATTGCTTCTCCATCACAGTTGTCACCATCGGAGGATGAAAATCGTGATAGCAGTGGTGATGGCGAGACTTTAACCCCTAACACCCTAAAGCCCTCGACCGGAAAACCCTAAAACCCTAAACCCTAAAGCCCTGAACCTTTAAATCGAATTGCAGTGCCTGAGGGTGCTGGCTTCCCAACCGGTGTAAGCCCCGCTCGCCCCGCGGCCTCATGACATCCTCGGAACCGAGCCCGAAGGTCAAAAACCCCAACCCTGAAAATCGAGCGAACTTGAAGATTTTGGGTGTTGGGTTGAGGAATTCAGTTCACGGGACATGGAATCTGGCATCGAGGGGCTTAGAGACTCTTTCGATTATCTTTGCAGGTCCCAGCAACTCTAAGCTGCGGATGGATCCGATGCAGGTCGGCGCGCTGCCAACCATGTCTGAATAGCCTTGAGAGCTTGTATATTACAGTGCGTTGAGAACGGTAGTACTCAATTCCAGAATACTTCAGGGTGCGTTTCTGTGGGAGACGAGAACCCATGCTTTCCAGGCATTCAAGGCTCGGGCTCTGACCAGAAGTCGCAGCTGTTCAGCTTAAGAACTCACTTTGAGGGCGTGGCTTTACAGGGGCATCAACCGCTCAGGGTTCAAGAGCCTTTTCTTTGTTTTGCCTGGTCGTAGAGTTTTTCATGACTGAGGACTTGACGATCAAACAGCTTCAAGTCCAAGGCTCGTCAGCTTCAGGAGATGAAACACCGAATCAAGCAGCAAGTACGTCGACCAATGCTTTCGGAGTACTCCAGGTCTTGAGGATCGCGGACACTGTAAGTTGTCAGATAGTAGGGCATGGCTATGTTGCTCCGGATTTGACATGATTTGATTGACTATGTATAGATATAGATGTTAACTAGTGCAGGGCGAGCAACCGCCAAGATCGGAGTCAAGTCAATAAATGGAGCAGAATTTAACATACTACACCGAGAACCAATGTGCTCGACAGGGCTTGAATGTGGAAGTGTCGGACTAGAGTTGTGGCTTGTGCCATTTTGTCACTTACAGCGTCTCAATCGGGTGCAGCGCGAAGAAGAACGGTGTGGCCTCACTCTGAATTTGCAAGCTTGCCGTCAGTCCCCTGCAAACACTGACGAGCTTGTCGTTGCGGCCTTTCACGCATACACGTCTCACCGCAGAGCACGCCGCAGAAATTCTTCGGTCCGCTCTTTAACGGATGTTCGCAGATTGTTGTTCTGCACAACGGCATCTAACCTGGGCAGGTCTAAGAGTTATAGGAGCTAGGTGCAGTGGCCCGAGAAATTAACACAACGTTCGATCAAATGCACTAGGACACATGTAGTTGCTTGAAGGCCAAGTGACACCGACGTTGCTTGGCTTGAAAGGCCCACTGTCACCGCTGGATCTGCACGCCTTTCCAAGAGTGCTTGTATTTCTTCTGCATAGAACTGGTGGTACGTATCAGCTTCGAGGCCAGTGTTGACACACCGGATCAAACGGGCTGTGCTTTCTTCCGATGATAGCTGAAGGCTCTCAAAGTTGTCCCTGTATATATCCAGCTTGTTGCGCATGCCCTCCGGACTGATGCATGCAAGATGTGGGCAGTGTAACATACGGCCTCCCTCCTCCGGGCTGGCTGCTTCCCATTCGGAAAGTGTGCTTCTAAGCTTTTCCCGCAGTGCAGGGGACTCCTTTGACTTCAGCAGGTCGTGCCCGAGGTCCCCACGCACATCCGCCCCTGGGAAAGGAGCATGTAAAGTGCCTGTTTCCAGATCTAGCCGGAACCATGCCCCAGCTTCTATCTCCACATATGGCAGGCCTTCTGTGTGATGTCGGACGAGATGCTCTTGAGGGTCACCCTTTCTCACCACCTCGAAATCATCCGGGACAACTTTGCAAGATCTGCCTTGTGCAATCGTCTCTGCGAGAAAAGATGACGAAGCCCGCAAAAACTGCCAGACGGTGGAAGTCCACCCATCACTGCGCTCTCTCGCTTCCGGCGGCTTGCAGTTGCTCCAGTTCTCCCAAGCGCACGAATTGGCTTTCCAGACCACCCACGGCAAGGCCTTCACACCGGGCTCCCAAGCTGTTGCCGAAGGCCAGGCCAAGACTTCCCATAGTCCCACTCTCGCTGCGAGGCATGCGGCCTCGTTTTACGCCTCCCCCGACGGTGGTCCAAATACCATGTCCATGGCTGTCCGGAGGCCTCACGAGGAAGATGTAGGTGCCACTGCTGCAGCTCCAGACAGGCACTACTCTGATGCTCTGGACCGGGCAGAAGGAAGAAGATGTGGGTGGCCTGTGTGGGTTACGGTCGCTCAAGACACATTGGTCTGGTAGTGCAAACCACGCAGGATCAAGGTGTTGAACATATGCTGGAATGACATGCTGGAACACATACGGCCATGCCTCCCATGGCTCCGAACCAGCAAATTCAAAGACTTCGATGCTGCATGCAGCATGGAATGTGAGATTTTCCAGATGTCTGAAAAGGCGAAGCGTCTCACGATGATCCTCACCGGACTCCGACCTTGCAACGAAAACAAAAGGGCATGGCCGTAATAGCTTGAAGATCTTCTCGGCGTCGGCGTCCAAGCCCTTCGACGGCTGCTGCCTTCCGTTTAGGATTGTACCCGGCTCCAGCACTGGATCCAGAGCTATTTCCAAGAGGTGGTGCACACCTGTTGGAAGTGACATCTTGAGAACATCCTCGATGAAATATTTCACATCTCCCAAAAAGACTCCGACCGTATTTGGCACTGCATGTGCCTGAACCCGTCCCTTCCAAGCCTTCCCTCGGCTTTTGCCACCTTTGCCGGGCCTGTGCGAGTACATGGCCTAGGCACAGCCTTCGCCGGAATTGCGGGTGTGCTAGTTCACTCGGTGCTTGCAGCCCCCTCAACCGGCAGAGCTGGGAATAGAAACTCACACGCACACACACATAGCAGGCTTCGCATCATTGACGGTAGAAACGAACGGACGCATCCTGTGTTGTCATGACAAGCCTCCAAGACGCAGAACCTCAAAGCCCAAGTCCGGCTTAAGTAGCTGGGGTTCAGGGCTATGAAGATGAGGGTTGGCGCTGATGGTTGTGGTGATGAGTTAGAAGGAAATACCCCTGCGGCCAAGGGGCATCCATGAAGCTTCGCCCAGGCCTTCTCGAGAATCATGGGCCACACCTCGAGACCTGACTCGTTAATGCTCACACAGAGCCGCGGAGAGCAACTCACAAGAGTCGTAAACCCGACAAGAACTTTCCAAGGCATGGTGGCGACCTGCTTGTGCCGAACCCACGGATCTGTCTCAAAGGGTCAACCAACTAAATTCTCCGAGTCGTTTGCCTGTGCCTGGGGCAAACGAGGCCTAGCAGCTGAGGATGGACGGTTGCCTTCTGATCTGTGAGCAACACTCTGCAAACGGGCCGGGCAAGGACTGCAACATGGCCTACAAGGGCCTACACAGCCTCTTACGACGCCCTCAAAAGCACAAGCTTCTTTTTGAATAACGATGAACCAAGGAACCGTCTGAACCGCAGCAGGAGGCAAAGGCCAGGCGTCGGTCATGACAAATCGGAAACCTTCTGGACGGCAGGTGTCTGCATGAATGCATTCAGCAAGCGGGAAACAACAGGAGAATATTGCAAAGGTAAAGCCCGGGAGCAATGTATCCACCAGCACCTGCGCACACGAACACAGCATGCTGTCAGTCTGTGCCAACTATCAGCTGGTGTAAGCAAGCTTCCAAAAACCGAAGCCGAAGTGACAGCCCTCCTGCAACACCAGCTGCACACATGCAATCTTGCAACCTCCCTTTGGAGTTAAGTTAGTACGACTCTCCATGCTACCTGGACCTCCAAACTCTCCGTACTTCGAAGGACTGAGGTATACGCCTCTAGGACTTCTCCACCAAGTGGCCCACACCCATTGCGATCCATCGTAGACGCGAACTGCGTAGACTCCGGAGGGAGACGGGCTTTCTACCTTCAGGGTTTAGGGGTTCGGGGTTTAGGGTTCACTGCTGGATGAACCTCTGTGTTTCACGGGAAATTGATGTGCGAGGCATGTAGGCATAAAATGAACAAGGCTGCATGTGTGTGTGTGTGGTGCGCGTGCGCGCATGCGTGTCTATGTGTGTGCGTGAGTGTCTGTGCGCGTGCGCTCCGATTGCGCATCTCATTCAATGCCATGCTGCTGGGTAGAACATCTTTCGCAAAATCTCAGGCCATTCTGCCACGACGGCGCAGATACTGATAAACCAGCAGTCACCAAGTCCTCCTTGCTTGATGTCATCCATTTCCTCACGCCACTCACATGCCGAAGAGAATCGCTCCAGCTGAGAAACTAATGTGCATCTTGTCTCACAATTCCGGGCTGCGAAGACATTTGGTTGGTTGCCATGCATCTTGCTTTCGTAACACGTGCGACGAGACAAGGCGGTTGGAAACGACCCACGAATTACAAAAAAATGTACTGCAAGGAGCGATCCTAAACCCTAAACCCGACACTCCCAACACTAAACCCTAAACCCTAAACCCCTAAACCCTAATCCTAAATCTTTGAAGATCTTTAGCCGCCAGTGCAGTCGAGGATCGAAGCCATCCTTGACCAGCGAGTGCCTTGAAGTTTTGCAGAACTTCTCACCAGGGTTTATGGTTTAGGGGGTTCGGATGTAGGGGGGCTGCGGGCAGTGCTCTGTTTTTGACACCGAAAGCTAGATCCCAATTCCTTTCCTAGCCACATAGCCCGCCATGGAAATAGTTGCCCTTGGCTGAGTTCAGCCGGAACCATTTTACACGACATATCGCGGCCTCCTCTTCCGCAGGTTAGCCGACCTCTTGACAATTATCAATTTCATTGCTCCTATTCTTAAGGTTTTTTTGATTACCATTATTGCTATGTTATTAAACCCTAAACCCTAAACCCTATATTAATATTATCGCACGTCTTTTTCTTTGTTGCAGCCGGGGGACCCGGCTGGTGGGCGGCCCCAGCCAGTAATCTGGAGACAGGGGGAGGGGTTTAGGGTTTAGGGTCGAGGATTTAGGGGTTTAGGGTTTAGGGACGTGTAAAATGTTGGAACTTGTTCTGTTGCTCCCTGGCTGAGCAGTAGTTTTGTTTTGTTTATGCATGGGGTAGAAGTACACATGACATGATAGCTCTAGCTGACAAGGCGACACGAACCATCCAATTTTCAGGTCGAACTTCAGATTCATCTTCTCGGCTGCACACTGTCCAGCTTTGGCAGGGGCAGCGGCTCTGTCTGCAGTCTGGGAGTCGCAAAGGTGGGCCTGAAGGATTAAAGCGAAGAGAGCACACCTCAGAATGGTCCGGTATTCCTGCTGATGAGCCGGACTTGTGTGCGATAGATCTCGAGATCGCTCTTCGCTGCTATTATTACTGTTACCCGAATTAGTGATATTACTGTTATTAAAACTATAGAACTGTTGTTGTCATTACTATTGACCGGCCTCGCGCACGGCGCGCGTGCCGATGGTGCTGCTGTTCGCAGGGAACTGAGGATCCACGAAGAGGCGACCTACCGCAGGGATCCGCAACATCCAAATCCTTCCCAAAGGGAAGCCATATAGTACCCTTATAGTACTCAAATCTCTTTGTCGCGACTGTGAAGATAGCGGTAGTGAATGTTCGCTAGCTGCAGCAGTAATTGTACCCAGTAGCGCTCATCGCCCCTCGTCATCTTCGTCGTCGGAGCAGTATCAACAGCAACTTTGCGGTGGCTGCTGCCCAAGCTGCGCAGCTGATGTGGAACTGATGTTGCCATCACGAAGGAGATTGCCAATGTTCCATTGTGAGTCGTTGCAAACACACGAAAAGCTCTGCAAGGTCTGCAATCATCCCAAAGGCACGACTTACCTGCAGCATCTGAAATAATGGGATCCTTCAAGTGCCACGCTTTCGGAAAATCTCGAAACCGGGGGACTCCGCTCTTTCCAGCCTATCATAGTCAAGCTGAAGCGCTACTGGGCGACAATTCCAAAGGTGCTGACCAACCAGCTTGGGAGGACTCTGACGCATCCGTGCCTGCGAGATGAGCATTGATGTTGTCGACCAGCTCCTCCGCAGTGTGCAGTCTTCAGCCGTTCTTAGTAGTTTGGAGTGCGCGAGTTGGGGTCTTCGAGGTTTGGGTTTGGGAGTTCGATGGATCGTTGGGACATGGGATCTGTGTGATTTCAACCGGGTTTAGGTTTGGCAGATCGATCGGATGCCAGGCAGGGGGTCTCGGAGTGGATCGTCGGAGGATGATGACGTGCTGAGACTCTGCTGGCCGGCGCACTTATGCGCACCTTATTAGGGCTCGAAACCTTTGCCAATCTCATGTCCTGGCAGACCTGCAACCTGAACATGAACAGACATCGTATAAGACTTGTACGCATGTGCATATTTGCTTGTTCATGCATATATGTATAGGTATATGTGTGCACATATCGCATATCTGTATGTATCTGCATATGCATGTATGTATATGTGTGTAGATGTTTGTTTTCTGTATGTAGATGTAAGGCGTGTCTGTATGTGAGATATAAATGTATGTGCATATGTACGTGTAGAATGTAGATGTGCATGCCTATGTATAGGAATGTGAGTATGTATATGTATATGGATATGTACGCATGCATGCAGGTAGATTTTATATGCATGGTATCCTTGCAACGGCTCAATCCCGACACGCTCTCCATCTCAGTCTACTTCGGACCTTGCCCCTACTGCCCTGAAGACCCTACTGCTCAGCCTTCACTGGCAAAAGTCTTGCACAACATAGACACCGAACCACTGAGACTCAGTCCCTATAGCTGACTGCTGCTCCCTTGCCACCAAGGATGCCGAGTCGCCGGTCCATTCAAGTATGTGTCGACTTTTTGGCCGTGATATTCTCCTAGGGTCTGGACGTACACAGATTCATCCCTGCAATCACACGAACACTGGACAGAAAAGCTGTTTCTGCACGGTGGACTTGGAACTTTGTTGTTGTTGGCGGTAGTCGTGGCGCCGGTGGTTCTGGTGGCGGCATTCCTGCTGTCAGTGTTGGTCGAGGTAGGGTTGCAGGTGCTGTCGTCACAGTCGGAAACGTCGCCACTGTTGCTGCCTTTTTCTTCGTCATCGCGGCTGTCGCTGCGGACAGCACCAGAGCTCTGCCTCGTGAAGTTAGCATGATCACTGTTGGTGCTCACTTTTGCTGCTTTCGACCCGGGCCCGAATCACCGCACACTCTATCTCTAAACCTTTAACCCTAAGCCCGTACCTGAATCCCAGTCCCTAAACCCCAAATCCTATAGATGCAACTACGCAATGGCTGTGCCCAGACTCGGCCAAAAATCTTCTTTGAAGAGTCGACCTGGGAGCTGGCAAGTATGGTATGAGCATGCACTTAAGACTCTAAGACTTTGACTAAGGTTTTGGGGACATGTTCTATAGTAAATAGTAATATAGTATTGGTCTTGAGTTATACAGTGACTCTCAAGCTACTTAGCTAGTTTATTGTGACTTCTTCAGACCCACTGGTGCAGTCGGAGTCCTGTCGGAAAAGTTCAGGGCTTCGCTTCCTTTCGTCCACGGTTTCGGGCGACGGGTCTTGTTTCTTGAGCCCCTTGTTCCGTCTGCAGATGCATCCAGAATTCCCCGTTTAGGGTTTAGGGGTTCAGGGCTTGGGGCTTCTGGGCTAAGGCTGAGCAATCATGTTCCAGGGACATCAACAACAAGGCCACAGTGCAATTCACGTTTGAAACAACTGAAGAATTCACTAGACAAGCACATCAATAACTCAAGAACGCACGAAGTTCAGCCGCAAGAAATCAGCAACCTTAGGACTTGAAATGTACCGCTACATCTTCTTATGCACATGCATACACCATTCATATACCCATGCAGTCATATGTACTTCTACATGTGTCGGTATGTTCACATGCACGGAGACGAGTGAGAGACACATGGGTTTACGAATCAGACGCTGGGCAGTCCGGAGCATCCAGGTAGGTTTAGGGTTTAGGGTTTACCGGAAAGGTTGGAGTTTACTGCTTAGCCCAAGCACCACTGTCGGCGCCAGGGTGCCCCAAGAGGTGGTGCTCAAATGATCCAGTGAATTCCGCATGCAACCTGCTAACCTAGGGCTCACATTGTCTCGGTGCATGCGGTGGTGGGCAAAGACGGAGTTCTGAAATCATCCATACTGACTATGTACGTCTAAAGCCACGAGCAACAAACATAAAGAAGAGAAGACCCATCTGAATCTTCCCATTGAAAAAGTGCAGCACTGAAGGCAGCTACTCCCCTGCTTCCCCACCGAGTCACCTTATCCCCCAGCTCGAGCACCTCTTGGCATTCCTCCGACACAAGCAAACCGACAGTTAAGGTCATGGGTTTACACGTTGCTGTGATGCATTTGCAAGATACATGCCTCGTGCCCTCAAGGTAACCGCTGCCGCATGTGAAGGTTGCTAAGGTTGAACACAGAATGTTTTCTCACTGCTCGTACCAGGAGATGTCAGCAAAAAGTTTGGCTGATGGCTCGCCAGCCTCACCGCATTTCGAAGACTCTCTTTCTATGTTGTGTGTTGGAGGTCCCACAGCAGAGTGAGGGCATGGATATTGGCGTGGCCCGCTGTGTGCTCTGAAAGCCTGACCGCTAAACTACATCCCGTTGCTCTTGAAGTCGATGGTCCTCGGCACTGGCTTCGTCCTCTGTCTTCCGCTCGTCCATGAACTGAAATCTGGATTCTGGATTCCGGTCTAAATAATAGCTGTATAGCAGCTAGTTGTAGCAGCAATCATCGTTGCACTGGCAACTAACTGCAAGTAAAATGCACAAAACACAGCAATGGCTAAGCTGATTGTGTACCCCACCACAACCACCAACAACAAATTGCAATGAGTACGTACTGGCAGGAAGTGGGTTAAGACTTCGCGGCCAAAGGGTCTTTGGACATGCGCCACAAACCAGACCTTCCCAAACACACATCTTACGGAGCAACGACGCGTCTAAAGGTCTACAGAAACGCCGCAATTACTCGGCACAATGCTGCATGAAGGCGCGCGAAGGCGTGAAAGGATCTGCGTGGCTTTGTTCGAGGGCCCACGCAGTTGACAAATGCCAACTATTCCACGCCCGGAGAAACACAGAGCGCACTCGAAACTCGAAACGCCAAGAAAGCAAAGCAGCACTACCCTGTAAGTCAAGGGGAGGTGCAGCGCTGTGGCGGTAGCCGACCGACTTAGGCACCTTCTTCTTGTAGGCCTCTTTCCTTCATGTCGACAAATTGAAGATTTGTTTCTCATATCGGAGTCTACACATGTGAATGCAGTAACAGCGGAGTCTTAATTGAGATAAGGCTGCTTGAGGCAAGAGCATAAGGAATTAAATTCTTCCTGCGCGGATTTGGTCTAGAGTCTAGAGTCAATCATATCGTCAGAGAGAGAGAGAGAGAGAGAGAGATATGGAGAGTGCCTGGTACAGAGGCGGAGACGAAGCGAAAGTATTAACATACAAATGAATATGTGTTATATACAAACATAGGTAGCGCTGTACAGTAGATAGGTGGATGTATAGACTTACTTTTACATGGTCAGATGGCTACAAGAACACACGAACTGCGCGATAGCGAAAAATCGAACCTACCCTATCCCTAAACCCCAAACAATAAACCCAGCTGTCAGCCCGGATGCGGATCAATCTTTGCCAACTTCGCGAAGAGCGGGTCTGCGCGAGCAATGTCCCAAAGCACTTCTTTCGGAGTGTGAACTGTCACGCCCCACTTTCCTTGCAGTCCGATTAGGTGCACGGGGCGCGCCGGGCAAAGGCACGGAGACACACAAGAACCTAGGTAATGGAAGCAGCGCAGCAGGTCTGCTCCTAGTCGGGTTTGGCTGAACAACAAGGCACCTGAGCGTGCCGACAAAGACTCCCATCACCCACGCGCAGTATGGCATTGTCACGCCCCAAACTGTGTCATCGAGCTCTTTGGTCCTTCAGAGCGACTTAGGAACACTTGAGACTTCTCTGTCTGCCGCTGCGGGTCCAGGCAGGAGCATCAGATTAGATATCAGCATACATGTACACAGAATCAGATGAACAATACGAACACCGGTTCTCCAACGATGCTCTCACACAGCTGCCATAGAACAAAGGCTGCCTGAGGTTCAGAAGTGAAAAGGAACGAGCCCTGTAATTCCAGTTGTCCTGGCTTCTTTTGGAATGAGCTCGAGCTCACCTTGGCTTGTGCGGAGCACCAGCCGTTTCAGGTTTTCTTGTTAAGACCGCCCCTAAACCCTAAACCCTAAACCCCTACCTGCTTGACTTTAATAGAGGCTCGCCGGACAGGAGCTCGCTCCATACTTGTGTGGTCTGCTTCTTCGGGTCTGAGCGGCGATCGCCGCACCCCACAACCTCCAAACCCGAAGCCCCCAACAAACCCCCCAAACCACCCCCTCCCCCCCCCGCCCGCGCCGCAAATTCCATGTAACATTGGGATCCGGTCAGGGCAAAAGGTAAGGCTTCAGGGTCTAACGGTTTCGACCTTGAAGTTTTTGTTGTGTTTCGGATATTAGGACTTGAGTGTTTCGGATATTACGGATTTTAGGGCATGCTGCTGCAGTGCCTAAGGTCTAAGCCGCACATGTCTGGAAGGATCCCGGGGCAAGGACATCAACACACCATATTTTGCACACTCGAACCATCTGCCCCTACACCCTAAATCCTAAACCCCAAACCCTGAACCACAAAACCGTGAACCCCAAACCCAGATGCGTAGAATCTCACGAAATTAATCAAATGGTCACAGCAAAGTACCGTAAACAACGCCAGGAAATCAGACATGGTCTGCAGGACCATAGCCGTGGTCCTTGTCCAAGCACCCGTCGCTACCAACACGTAGTTTGGTGGGTGTCGGTGCTGATGACGACCAGCATTAGGCCGACGCAGCCACGGTCATCATCATGGCCGTGGTTCTGATTGCTGTGGCCATTTCTACCGCGATCGAGGTTGTCACCCTCAACCCTAAACTCTAAACCCTAAAAACCATTAAACCCTTCAACCCGAAACCCTAAAATCCCGAAAAGTAGATCCTAGGCCAAGTTGCCCAGCAGCTGGCGTGCCTCGACCAGACCTTCGTCCCACTGCTCCTCACCAAGTTTTGAGGGCTCACAGTGTGCGATGCTCCGATTCCGGGTCTTCTCAGAGTCTAGTGCCGAAGGTTAGCTTCGACGATCCAGCCCTACATCCAGGAGTTCATGGGTAGTTATCCAAATTGGGGTCCCCTTGTAAGTCCCCAACTTAATACGGCACACCCGAAAATGGAGCCTAATTTAGAGCACTACCCCCATGAGGCTTCCTACAGGGCCCGGTCTACCTGAGGCAGACATTCCGAGAATGATAGCAGCAAAGATCCCAATCATCACCATGTGACTGCACAAATATCTCGGCATCTGTCACATCGCCTTGGTTTGTGATTTTCCAGCTGAGAAACTAACCATACATTCCGAAGGCTCGATGTCCGAACTAATAAGGCCAAGAGGTCAAGACTTGCATGCTAAATAACGTTCTGAATTTTCCCAAACTCCACCAAAGATCTTATCCTTGCTCACGCGCGGCAACCGTGTCATGTCCGGTACTACCCCAGGGCAAAACTCACATCAGGAAAACTCGAACTCTGGAGCCTCACCGTCTCGATCCACATCCGCAAAAGCCTGGCGTGCGCAACGGTGTTTCGTATGCACAGTAGCCGAAAATCCACACTGCACAAGTAGCAGCTATCGCAGTGTGGTTCAAGGTCCCAAGCTCCCCTGAACCAGCATCTCAACCCACAAGACCCCACATCCTTGTGAATCCTAAGCCTGTGCAGATTGAAAACATCCCATTCTGCCTTCGCGCGTTCAATCCAGGACCTGTCGAGGGGTTGGGTGAACATCCTCAAACCCTAAAAACCCTAAAAACCCTAAACCCTAAACACCCTAAAAACCCTAAACACCCTAAAAACCCTAAAAACCCTAAAAACCCTAAACCCTAAAATCCCTAAACCCAAAACCCTAAACCGCTTCAGACTCAGCGCCGTCGGTTGAAGATTTCCTTTGGAAGAGTTTGGGCTTGGGGGATGCGGTCCTCCCCTCGACTCCGTAAACCCTAAACTGCCCGAAACCCTAAACTCCCTACGGTTTAGGGTTTAGGGTTTAGGGTTCCCCTGAGCCCTAAACTAAACTCCCCAAACCCTAAACTCCCTAAGCCCTGAACCCTTATTGTAAGGGCTGCCTTTGGTAGCTGATTCGGACTTCTACCGAAGTGTGGCGGCCTCAGAGCATTGGCGATCACTTCTATGGCTCATTTGTATTACTACTACGATGACGACTAATTATGACTACCATTACATCGTTTTAATCTTTGTTTAGCTTACTGACTGAATATGATATCTACTGCGTGGATGCTCAAACTATCCTGCAAGCCAAAAACTCGCAACTATTTCCTCTCCTCTTGGCCCCACTGGCTCATCATCCGCACTTCGAGGCAAACTCCGAATTCCCGAGACGCCCAACGCCCCGCCTCACTACGGGATCGGTGTTCTCCTCCACCTGCTGGGCCTCATGCAAAGATTTACTGGTCAGGATGCTCTAAAACAATCGGGCCGGTTGGGGTTGAAGGCTTGATTTCACTGGGCTAGGAACAGAACCAGGTGTACTAGCTGTCTTACCATCTCGCTTGGGGATCGGATAGTTTTAATTCAATTTCCCTTTGTGATTGCAATCCTTGTTCTGCTACGCTCGCTATGCTGTTTGCCATGCGCTTCTATATCTTAGTTTTAGGGGGGCTGAAGATGGGGGCATTGGGTGTCTTAGGATTTAAGAGCGGGTTGGCCGTTTTGATTTGACGGCTGGCGAATCGCGGAAAGTGTGGAGATACCCTGCTACGGCTCGCATCAGTCGTTGCCGGCTTTTCTGGATGGTTCTCGAAGTTGAACATACTTGTGCGTAGTCTTCCGGTGGCATTGAGAAACCCACACATGCAAACATACCGCCATGAAGCAACTGACAGGAACGGATGCATGAATGGCATCTGCTTTTGTTTCTTGAAGCGGGGCAATCCTTGATCACCGGTTCTTTCAAAGTGAAAACATGGGAGGCTGCACGAAAGTCCCTGAGGTAATTCCTCACCCGGTCCAGGTACTCAAAACCCACTTTGAGAAAAGGCAGTCATGAGCAAATGTGTACGTAGGTTACCCCGGGCGGGCTGGGCGGGACATAAATTTTCCTGGAGGGCGCGTAATCCGCAATTGTTTTCCCATCCACCCACCGCTTGAGCTGAATAGCATGAGATCAAGCATGGGATGTAGTGGCGGACGTTTCTTAATGCACGAGCATGTTTCAGACATGCTCTCACCCTGCGCCTCACACAAAGAGCTATGCACAAGTGCATGTCGTACCTTAAAGTGAAACCTAAACCCTGCATGACATGATGCAGTTTACGTGCAGCTCAAGGTACGGCACAGTACAGTGGGAACACGTTGAATATGAAAACAGTACAGCAGCATGTGGCAAAGTATATATATACACACATATACATACCCATGTCTATATGTTCAGCACTGTGCAATGTAACTTAGCGCAAGTTTACATGCTTGAGTGTACTATCGACCACTCCTCCGCCGGCCTTGCTCTCCGCCTCTTCGTTGCCAGAGTCCTCAGGAAGCACTTCCTCCTGGCTCGGAGCATACTTCCAGCTGAAGGTCTCTGCAGTGCAGAACTCCGGAACTATAGGCTGGATGCATGTGCGAACGAGGAGGGAGAGTAGCAATGAGTAGCAATAGCAGAACCAGTAGTTGTGGTGTAGTGAAAGCAGCAGCAGACTCCGTAAGAAGAGGGAAGGCAGGAGCAGCAGCGAGAGAGAGAGAGAGAGACCGAGAGAGATCGCGGTGCTCGTCATCTTCGTCGCTGACGTTCCAGACAGTTCGTCGTCGTCGTTCGTGGTTGTCCTAGTCGTCGTCCCGATAGCAGCACAAACATGGCTAGCAACACAAACGCCTTCAAGTATTTTCCTTATTTCCAGTGCTGCGGAACTGCGTCGAGCGTGGCTGCAAGTAAGACACTGAATGCAAAGGATCCCACATGCGCGGACTTCCATGGTGTAAGAGGTGTAAGACTTAAAGCATGGTTTACGAGCGTGACGCGGGTTCCAAGCACAAACGTTCTGTTCCAGAAGCTAATTCCTAAAGCAACCCCTGGATCAACATCCCACGAAAACTGGCTGCCGGACTTGAATTCAACCAGACTCGAGGGCCACAGCAAATGCTGCCTCTGAACCCGGCAAAACCGAAGACTGCCTGAAACCCTCCGACCTCGAGCTCTCTGAACCTAAATAAACCCCTGAACCCCGAATACCTGCCCCAAGTATCAGCACCCGAAGACCTTGGGATAGACATAGGTCCACTCTTCCGCAGCCGCGGCTTCCTCCTCCTTGGCCTTGGCCTCCTCCTGGGGATCGAGACCTGGCAGGAGATGCAAGTGGACAGCTCCGGTGTCTGTATGAGTGTTTCTGTATACACACACACACATGCGCGCACATACATACAGTTTATACATGAGCATGTGTGCATGTGCGTACATATATATATACATACATATTATAT